GTCGATATAAAGGTTATCGGATTGAAAAGGAAGCATGAACACAAATCTGCAAGAACATGTTCAAAGTCGAGATAAAGAAAAGCAATCTTATCAAGCAGAAGCTCCTGCACTGATACGATAAGATAACAGTTGATAAGACTACACTTCATATATAAGGCTTCTTTAGTAAGAATAAAGACCTTTTATCGGCTATCCTCTTCGGATCGGACATGCCCGAAGTATACAGATGGAAACATAAGATACAAGCTGATAATAGATGAAAGCAAGTGCCCACACTGCCTATTGAGGTGTGATCCCAAGAAAGAATGTGAAGGAAGAAAGAAACCTTGTTGGTACTGTCGGACAATAACTGAAAGAACAAGTCTGGAGTTTTCCCCAAGGACAGTGGGCATCATAGGGCGCTCTGCACAATACCTGACTCGAAAGACAAATTGCGGAAAGCAATTGAGGAAACTAGGAAAGAATTAGAAGAAATTGAAGAGACATTATACCTGCGTCCAATAAAAGGGTGGGGAGCGTAGCAATGATACAATAAGTTCATTACTTTACGCTTTCATTTCAAGGGTTAACTTGTTTATTATAGGAAAAATGATCTGCTTCGCTAACGTGCTGTGTGCAATGATTGATAAGTATCTTTGAGGTGATAAGATAGAATATGGTATAAGAAGTGATGGCGGCCGGTATGGTTCATTCATTCAGAACACATCGCAATCCAAGGACTGAAGCCTCGACGTCCAATACTGGGACTCTGGTCAAGAGCAGGGATTCCAGGCATCCGGCGAATAAACTTGTTCCTAATACAAGTCGTCCTCCACAATCAGCATTCAACACACAAAACACCGAGTGGCACATAGCACTACACCAGCGTTTTGAGCTATTAGGTTGTCCGGAAAGTTCTCAGCGTTTTGTGTTACTATTTCTGAACATTCATTGCCGATTAAAAACTCATTCTCCCTTGTGTCTCAGTAGTATATCCTGAAGAGAATTTTTTGCGCTATCTGATGGTATAGTTGCCGTTTCACCATTGCTTGATAGAAGCATGTCAAAAGAGCAACTTCGGACGATATTTTTCTTCATCTACAAATTGGGTCAGTGCGCAGTCGAGACAGCTCGACAAATTAACCAGGTGTAGGGGCCCAATAGTGTTGGAGAAATCACCGTGCGACAATGGTTCGACAAATTTCGTTCTGGAGATTTCAGCCTTGAAGATGAACCTCGTGGCGGTCGACCTAAAGCAATTTCTGACGAGGATTTAAAGGCGTTTGTGGAGGCTGACCCATCCCAAACAGTTCGAGAGATTGCAGAAAAGCTAGGCATTAGCAAATCCATTGTGGCGGATGGTCTGAAACGCATTGGGAAGGTGAAAAATTCCGACAAGTGGGTGCCCCACAATTTGAGTAACCGGCAGAAATTCGCAAGTCTCGAGATTTCTTCTTCACTGCTTTTGCGCAACAGAAACGACCTGTTTTTGGACCGAATTGTCACCGATGAAAAGCGGATAACGTATAATAACAGGAGACGTTCCGGACAGTATATGCTGACGAACCACCGAGGCAGCTTCCAAAGCCGAATCCTCATGAAAAAAGATTATGGTCACTGGTCATCGGCTGGCGTGATCCACTATAACTTTTTGTCACCAGACCAAACCATCACAGCACTATTCCTACTGTGAAGAAATCGACGAAATGTACCGAAAATTGCGTCAGCTGCAGCCAGCACTTGTCAACAGAAAGGGTCTGATTCTTTTGCATGACAACGCCCGCCCACACCTTACAAAAATCACTATCCATAAAGTGAACGAATTGGGCGCTGAAGTTCTACCTCACCCGCCATATTCCAGACCTTTCACCAACCGTCTATCACCTTTTCAAACATTTTCAGAACTTCCCTGCTGAAAATACTTCATCAATCAGGACCGGCAAAAAAAGCCTTTGTGGGTTTCGTGGATTCTCGACCACCCAGTTTTTTCTTTAATAAGATTTACCGAATGTTGTCACATTGGCAAAAGTGTGCTGATTCCAGTGGTGCTTATTTCGATTGAATCCGACGAGTATCAAGGAAGTTATGATCGCCTAAAGTGAAACACTCAAAACGCTGAGAATTTTCCGGGCAACTAATATTATAACAGCACAGGTACCGATCCAGCGAGGCAGAGTATGAACGCGCTCAAAAGGAGAACGAGTCTTACCAGCGGTACAGATGAAAGAAACGCCTGGCATTGAAGACAAACCATGCGACTGCTAGTCATTGACGGAGTCAAAGATGAAAAACTGGGGTGGCCTGTGAATTGACAATGAAGAAAAAAGCGAATGAAAGCCAAAAACGAAAACTGGGCCTCCGTAACTGGATCAGTATGCCAATGTGCTTATTTTATAGCAGAAACCCAGACATCTCGGGCTCATTATCGCTTTCACCCATCCTCCGTCATTACATGCCATAGAACTCTTGGAAAACGGAATAATAGCATAGAAGTTAAGAAGTACAGCAATGTGTGTGATACAAACAAGCTTTGGAACCTTTTGGTGGAAGAGGGCGATTACCGTACCCTAAGCAACTACTGCATCACGAAAATTCCATCATTGGTAATTGTAAATAAATATAAAATGCATCTTACAGTGTGAAATGGATTGCTCTTCATTGCATGTGTCCGCTTTTATAACAGGATTCAAGAAAAGAACAATGCCTATACATACACGTAGGATGGCGCATAAGAAGACGATAGAGCCCACAGGCTCGCATCACACAGAATGAACGACACCTGTATTTACGGATCAACCCTACACATCTCGTCCCTTATGCGCTAAATGATCTGAACGTACCATATACACTGCGTCCCAAAAGTATAGTTCCACTCATAAATCTCGCAATATCCCGCCCTAGCTTTCAAAAAAGCCCCTAGATAGAAAATGTGGTATTTACCAGTGTCAGTTTGCATGCCAACATCGAGAACTAACTTTCCAGAGCAACTTCAATTTTCTTCTTTTCTTGAAAATTTCTCACTTTGACAATGTCCCAAAAGTATAGTTCCACCACATATTTTCCACTACGCCTCATTTTTTTCGGGTGAAACTGTCTCATCATCATTACTTTCACCTTTTCCAGGTTATGGCGAGAGGACATTCTTTATCGGCCTTCCAAGAAGGGCAGATTATTGTAAAGAAGGCTCAAGGACTGTCGAACCGTCAAATCGCAAGGGAGTTCGGCCGCAGTCAGCATGTTATCAATAACTTTGTCAAGGAATCCGCATACGATATGGAATCAAGAAGAGCTCTGGGCGTCCTGCTTTGCTCTCTGATCCAGAAAAGCGCCGCACTTTGAGAGAAGCATCAAATTCTACAACGTCGTACCCGAAAAAAAGTCAACTTTGAGGCCTAACGTCTCGAAGCAAACTGTTCGGCGTGTTTTCAAAAAAATCCTCAGTTCACCCATAGGGGAAATATGAGTTACGTACTGTTTTTAACGAAAAACCATCGCGAAAACCTAATTGGCCTTGCTCTAAGATGTTGCCGACCCAATGGAGTGGAGGTGGCTTCTGGCTGCGGTGCCCTGCTGCTTGTCTGTGCTGCTTTTTTGAGTTATTTTTCTCGCGGTCGTGTTTTCTGATGAGAAAAATTCAACTGCAACGGCTCAGATAAAAACCGATTTCGCTGGCACGAACTGAGGGAAGACGAGCTTCATTCTCTGGGCGGAACTCCTTGGATGTGATCTCATGGTCTGGGGTGCCATCGTATCAAGGAACGTCTGAAACTGTGCTCCATATGGGAAAAAATGATTTCTTCCGTACATCTTAAAGTCATGCGACGACGTCTCCTTCATTTTTGGTGTAGAAATCAGCAAGAAAGTCCTGTTTTCATGCAAGACAATGCACCAATTCATGTCAGCCGAAACACTCGAGCGTTGTTCAGTCGTCGCTCTTTTGCCCTGGCCAGGAAATAGCCCTGACTTAAACCCAATCGAGAATGTTGGGCTTCATTGTACGCATGATCTATTATACGAACAATGCACAATTCCACAATATCCGTGAGCTCAAGCAGTCAATAACTAATGCATGGCAGCATGTCGACAGAAAACTGATTTAGAACCTCTATTCGAGCATAGACAACCACATTTGCCAACTTATTCAAAGGAATGGCTGTAATAGATTATAGAATTAACAATTCATTCACTTTGTTGTACACTTCTTGTTTTATGAATCCATTTTTTTAGTGGAACTATACGTTTGAGAAATCGTCAAAGTGAGAAATTTTCAAAAAATAAGGAAAACTGAAGTCGCTCTGGAAAATTAGTTCTCGGTGTTGGCATGCAAATTGGCACTGGTAATTACCACATTTTTTATCTAAAGGCTTTTCGAAAACGTCGTGTAGGGCGGGATATTGAGAGATTTAAAGGTGGAACTATACTTTTGAGACGCAGCGTATAATTTCAGTTTACGATGACCGCAAGCCTACTCGTTGCGGAGCCGCAACAGTGGTAGAGCTTCTAAGATCACGGAACAGACTACTTGGGCAACGAAGAGAGTCTACGAAATGGTCTAGAGCGGGGTCTGCCTCTGAAGATTCACCCCAAGAAAAGAAGGGACGGAAGACGACTGGTGAGTCATATCCTGGTTGGGTTTGCTAAAACCTGAGGCTTATTCAGTGAAGTGGCAAATACCACTCGCGCTATATTGGGTTCAAATCCTGGGTCGACCCCGCCCAAGCCAACTAAGGCCTTTAACCTCCGGAGAAAGTGAATCGGTACCAGAGTCCTCCTACGAAGACAAGATCATGCTGTACATCTGCTGACCCCCGCAAGTCATTGTATAGGCCACATCGCATTCAACGAGAAACTACGATTCTGAATGGAAGGAAAATGCGTGCCGCATACCGCAAAGGGATTGATTGACGGGCTAGAAACTATCCGTAGAAATTATCTTTTTATCCTTCGCAAAAACCCAAGTCTTAAACCTAGAAATGTTTCTCGCAAATTGGAATCGGCATCAAATCAGTATCTGTACAGCACTACTCATGCCAATTGCCGAAAGTGCTAGCAAACCAACCTGAACTGAATGTTGCCACACCCTTTTTGATTCCCGCAATGTCAAGGATCGTAGAACCTGGGAAAACGGAGCGGATGCCTGCAACTTTGCACATCTTTTACAGAACCGAAATGCCAATGAGAGTAAATAATTGCTCTATGCGAGAAGCGTACATCGTTGACTCCTCACATCCCACAACTTTATAAGGCGGTCGTTCGATCCAGAAACTACTTGAGTAGATGATAAAAACCGAGCCGATGACACTTTATCCGTATGTCCCATGAATGAGGTCTGCAAGGACTCGGTATCAGGAAATGTGTTTGGGAAACGAGAAAACCTTGCTGTTCCGTAAAACCAAACTATAGATTTTTGATACATAATGAACTACTTCCTCTCGTTTTCCGAGCTCACACTTATTCAGTACACGTAGTATACAATTTCCATTTCAAATCGAACATTTTTCAAACCAAAACGGACTCTTCATAACAAATGGGCCAGCCTATGCACCGGACAGTTGTTTAACTTGACCACACCATAGTTTGCCCTTTCAGGCTACAACAGGTGGCTTCGCTCACTACTAGAACCTCAGCTCACTTTTGAAAAAATGATTCAGTTCGGTAGGCTAGAGTCCCAATTGACAGGCCTTGGTCTCTCCTGCTCCTCCACACAAAAAACCAGGCAAAGTTTGTTCCGAATAACGAAAGATGTCCTCACATGTCAAGACTCTAACCTGCCGATTTGGATGGTTTCCTAAAAGTGGACGGGCTTTATGAAGTGGGCGAGAATCCCGCTGTACCCTAAGAAGGCAAAAAGTTTGATGGGAAGATTATAATTCTGCAAAAAAAAAACTCAAACACCGAGCTTATTGAGGTGATGTAAGAATGTGTGCCTATGAGTACATCCGTTCTGTGAAGAACGGATGTGAGTGTGGTCAAGTTGATCAGCTGTCCGGTGTATAGAGTTGGTCCGATGTGGTTGAAAATGCACCCATTTTGGTTTGAAGAGTGTCCCATTTGAAATGAAAATGGTATTCGGTATAAACAAATACGGAATGTTTTTTTTGTGAGTTCGTTTGAGGGAACTCAAAGGATACCCACGTGAACCTACTATGAGTCGCTGATTATCCACATTCCATAAGCGAACCCCATTGTCATTACTGGCGCCGAGCAGAAGCCGCGATTCGCTGTCGAAATCGAGGCGCGTCACTGAATGGTTGCATCCAACCAACGTGCACCTGGAACGTATAATAAAACGAAGAAGACTATCAAGGCGGAACAAAACGAACCTACATTTTTGAAGGCCTTCCTCGATGATCGACTCTCCACAAGCGAACCCGTTTATCGCTACCTCCACTAGCAAACATTTCCACTGACAGCCAAAGGACATCATAAACTTCGCCATCGTTTGCCTCCTAATCACGACTGACATTACGATATCAATGGAGTTCGGTTGGTACAGATAAACGCACAACTTTGAACACAACTTCACGTGGTATAGAATCGCCCAAAACGACATCACCAACAGGAAGATGTGATTGTTGCAGATTTTGCAAACTAAAAAAAAACTTCATATGATTAGAAAGAAATAGCAGAAATTTAATAAGAGGAAAAATGGATGATCTGATCTTACTTTGCTATAAATTCCCGCCAGCCCTTGCACGTTATGGAAGACCAGTCGGATCGCCCAGATGTCGCCGGGCGATCCTCTTTCTGTGACACAGCCCGGCTTCGCCAGGCGCCTCTACGATGAGAAACGGAATTCTTTCAATCATTGGGCTTCTCATACGGCGCTATGGTGGTCGAATCATAACAGATACCAACCCTGCGGATTATGCACTCCTTAGCAAACGCTTGTATGTGCGGTGCGCGCCACGATGCGCATACAACACATAGACCAACAGATATAGATAGATAGAAATCGGTCGATCAATACAGCGCTTGATTGTGGGTACTATACTCCCTTATTATGTTCTCATCAGTAATTGAAAGTTTGAGAGAAAAAAATTCTGAAATCAAAAGTTCCCTGACTAAAAAAATTCTAAAATCAAAATTTCCCTGACTTTCCTGTTTCCAGCGTACTGCGTACTATATACCTCCCCCGCTCGTCGACATCGACATTAGTATATATATATATATTATATGATATATACTATATATAAGTTATTATATATATATTATATATACTATATATAATAATAATATAAATATATCATATGATAAGTGGATCGCCGCTAACGCCGAGCTCGTCCTCCTTTTTAAAAGCTCCGCCTTCGCCGGGTCTCATAGCAACTGCTTTAAAGGCCTCACTGTCTTAGGCTCGTGAAGAAAGGAGCAAAGCAAGGGCAAAGCAGGCGATACCTACTGTCTTAGGGCATTCATAGTGTCTCGATGGTAACTACCGGCTGTCTTCTAATAAAATAAATATGTAGAAACGCGCGCATATGATCGCAGGGCTACCTTTCATAATGAAAAGTTAAAAACTTGGTCATCTGGATAAATGCGATTACTCTCCTCACCCCATCTTATGACAGCCATGGATGCTTCGGATCTGCCGCAGTCGCTGCGTGCTCCTGTTCAGGCGAGCGTCGGTCGCGCCAATATGGTACCCCCTTCACCTATACTATCCGCAAACTAACGCTCAGCATTCGCCCACAGCCACCCTACAGGTCACGCTCAGTGCTACGCGAATAGCCCGTGGCACTGTTTTGAGTGCAACTAGAATTGGTTGTGCCTATGATTGTGGAGGGTGTTCACTGTCAAAACAGCACCACAATTTGATAATGCAACAATTAATTGCGGTTCAGTTCCGATTGGCCGGTCGACTCCCTTCGTTTCATCTTATGGTAACCGTAGACGCCTTTCCAGCCCAGGCGGCTATGTGCTCTATTCCCGGAATCGCCGTGCTGGCATCTGGTACCGCCTTCACCACATCATATCCCGCTAACCCTATGTTAACCGAAACACCCACTCCCGCACGTGTGTATGCGCTGCTACCACCGCCCTCGTCGTGCTCACCTCCAGCTAACCAAAGCGAGAGCTCCTGCGCATTAGCACAGAGTCTATCACAGTGGTGGGCTTAGATACGCGGAGCGATTCAACAATGCCAAACAACATTTAGTTCGTTGGCTGTAACAATGAATCAGCTGGCAGTTTTGCTAGCGGTGTCTTTCCTTCTCTCTTGCCGCATCCTCTCTATTCAAGCGTACGCTACGTCATACCCTTACTGTAGCGCCAGTTTGCCGATTCAATGCCATATGCTCCTCCCACTGCATGGCTGCAGATCCGACAGTGGCAGCATAAATTGCTGGGTGGATGTAGATGATGAAGGAGTACGATGCGTGGAGAAGGGGTTATTTGATAATAACTCCGCACGTTCCCTCATCTCCCCATTTCGTACTTGCCACTCCAATCCCCCCTCTCCTTGCTCTTTTGCACCGCAACGTGTGTCTAACTGCACGCGAGCAACCCGTGCAATGGCTCGGAGTGTAGTGGTTTTCTTATATCCGTTGGAGAGTGTTATCACAACCAAAAACTTCTCGGTTCGTTGTAGACATAGAATGGCTTGCAGTGTTGTGTTAGCCGTTCGTTTTTCCATATCCCTTGGTGCCGCCGTCTACGTGCAATGGCTCGGAAGTGTACGCGAATGGTCGTTTATATAGCGAGGCTGTTATCACAATCAAGATCATTGGCTTGGCTACAGTCCCCTCAATCTGTTACCGTTTGCCATAGCGGTCGTTTTCTCTCCCAGCCGACCACTTGAACCCGTGAAGTAATTGTGGCGGACGGGACAGACAAACATACATACCTACAAACCTAACATATAAACATACAAACCGACACAGCAAAGTTACCTTTTTATAGAATGGAGAAGGATATATATATATAATATATATTATATATATATATATAATATATATAAATATATATATATTAATATATATAATATATATATTATATATATATATATATATATATATATATATATATATATTATATATATATAATTAATATATATTATATATATATATATATGATCATATATATATAACTAATCTATAACTAATATATGCATATATATATATTATATCATATATATATATCATATATATATAACTAAGCTATAACTATATAATCATATATATATATAACTTCTCGGTTCGTTTTAAACATAAGAAATGGCTTGCAGTTTTGTTAGCCGTTGTTTGCCCATCCCTTGGTGCGTCGTCTAGCGTTGCAATGGCTCGGCGTGTAGCCGATGGTACGTCTTATATAGCGGAGGCTGTTATCAAATACAACATCATTGGATTGCTACATCCCCTCAATACTGTTAGCCGGTTTGCCTAGCGTCGTTTTCTACACTCCAGCGAACTTGAACCCGTGAAGTATTGTGGCGGGACCAGACAAACTACATACCTACAAACTACATATAAACATACAAACCGACACACAAATTAGTGGTTTAAATAGGAAGAAAAGGATAGTCAATGAATCTTTGACCAATATGTTCATACGAGTGCACTAGCATGATTCTTTGATATATGAGATTCGTAAACAATCACGCATTGCCTCAAAAGTGATATACAACAATGGATTTATTTATGCGACTCCGCTTGCCGGTTGATCCTTCCTCTATTCACCTATCGCGCTTTTGATTGGGCTTTTTATATCACACTCATGATGAGTTTCTACTAAACGCACCTCTATGCTTCGCCTCCCGTACGTCTCCTCACTAATCCCACGGCACCAGCATTATACCTCGCCCACTCCCACTTGCCGCACCCCACTCCCCATCCGCGGCTCGCTGCACGTGCATCACCGTACACACTGCGCACGCCCGCGCAGCTCCGTGCTAATGGTTTGAGAGTGACCACTCATGGTCCTCCATATATAGTGGCAGCGGTGTTATCACAATCAAAACAATTGCGAATTGATAGCATCGGCACCAACACCGGTTTCGCTCACCTCTAGCGTGTACACTCTCCATACACGCTGTGTTCGAACCCGTGAAGCATTTTGCGGAACAGGACAGACATACATACATACGTACATGCATACATAAAATACCACCAGAACCGACACACAGAATTAGTGGTTTAATAGAATGTAAGGATTATATATATATATTATAATATATATAATATTATCATATATATATATAGTATATATATATATATATATATATAATATATATATATATATATATATATATATATATATATATATATATATATATATATATATATTATATATATATATATTATATAATATATATATATATATATATATAATATATATATATGAGGCGGAGATGGTGTAGTGACAAGTGGGGCGCTCACCATTCGCGCGGTCCCGGGTTCGAACCCCGGTCGACTCCCGCCCAGGCCAACCAAGCCTTCTACCTCCGGGGACGGTGAATTGGTACCAGATTCGTCTGGGAGGATAAACACTGACTTGTACATCGGCTGGCCACTGCAAGTCATTGTATAGGCCACATCGCATTCAATAACCCACTACGATTCTGAATGGAAGTAGAATGCGTGCCGCATCCCACAAAGGATTGATCAACGGCGAAGACTATCCTTTTATCCTTTATATATATATATATATATATATATTATTATATATATATATATATATAATATATATATATATATATATTATAATATATAATATAATATATATATATATATATATATATATATATATTATATATATATAATATAATATCTACTATATATAATCCGCTAAATATGTCTGTAAGTGTGTGTGTGTGTTTGTGTGTTTGTGTGTGCGTCTGTCTGTCTGTCACGAAAATCATAGCGAGCGTCGCAGAAAAGATAGGACGACAGTTCCAAGAAGTGATATACTTGGCAGGACGGGAACACTTTTGGTGGGTGATAGAATGTGATAGCACCTGATTAGATTCGACCTTAGAAGGGGAGGGTGACCGAGCCCATAGTGCGGGACACAGTAGTAGTGGGACATGTTGCCAGGTATGATATAAGGACGTGAGACAGGAAAATTATTGATGGGTGACAGGGAATGATAGCAGCTGAGAGGATTTGATAAGGGGAGTTAGAATGCTATGGTCACCATACTTATAACGCGGAACACAGCATCAGCTAGGCATTAATTTCAGAATATGATATAGAGTTGGAGATGGGGACACGGGACGTGAGGTGATAACAGCTGATAGGGGCTGATAAGGAACGTTGCAATGCTGTTCAGTCAAATCGCTGGAGCCCTTTAACTACCAAATCATAGAGTTTCAGTGATAGGGACATTGATGACGGGTGACAGGATCTTATCAATCGATAAGAAACGATAAGAGGTCATTATCATTACCTCTCTTATCACTATACCCCAAGTACCAAAGGCTCAGTGTGCATTCTTTCCTTTCAGCCATCACTTCCCTGATAGCCTAGAAAATGAACTCATCTACTATATAATGTCGATGCGACGAGCGGGGGGGGGGGGGGTATGTAGTTCGCGTGAAACGGGAATCTCAGGGAAATTCGAGGAGAACCGAAAAACACTTCAACGAGCGGATCGC